TGTATACATACTTACAATATAAAAAAAAAAATTATTTTTTTTAGTGACGTCATTACTTAGAAGATATGAATAGTTTATTGATCTTGAAATTGAAAAAGAAAAAGAAAATATTTCATAATATTTATTTCCTTTTCACTTTCATTGAGAACGGACTAGTTCTCAAGTCCAAGTTATTCTATTTATTTATTTTATTTAATAAATTTTGTGATTAATTTATAAATAACACAAGAACGTATTTGTGTATAAAAACCTCACGTGAAAACGGAAATAAATGAAATTTGAAATAGCAAAGCTCAGATAACCTTTCTGGCATAAAAAATAATTCAATCAAAAAAAAAATGTTGATTAACAATGTTTGTTCTTGAACAAATCGCCAAAATCGACTCGCCACAAATCAGTACCGAAACGGGCAGCGTAGCGTAAATACTTATGTATAAAAAATAAAATATATATAATATGAATAGAAAACAAAATATATTTCATTACTTCATAATATTAATTTTGTTCCAACAATGTTGTTATGCGCTGACATTGAAATCAACCTATGAGGATTTTCAAAGTGAAGATGCGCGGAAAATTATGCGTTTGGCCAAGTCTGCGGAAATGCGAGCCTATATGCAAAGCGATATCGATCCATGCGATAATTTCTATAAATATGCGTGCGGTAATTGGGCCAAATTGAATCCCGCACGTAAAGATCCCAGGACGGGTATATTCAGTGTCTTGTCGAAAGCATTCATTGGTAGAGCGCTGCGTATTTTACAAAGCCCAAAACATACCACCGAAAGTGACATGGAACGTCAAGTGAAATATTTCTATGAGTCGTGTTTGAATAGGAAAGAATTGCGTCACAATTATAAGGAAAATCTACTCAGTATTATGGAGGAGTTTGGTGGCATGCCAGCGTTAAAGGGTGAACAGTGGAATGAAGATAAATTCAATTGGTTAGAAGTTGTCGCAAAGATACTACGCAAATATGGCAAAAAAATCATAATTGGTGTGGACATCTCACCGGATTATATGAATAACGAAGTGAATCGTGTGTATATTGGACAAAATGATAATTTGGTGACAAGTCGTGCATCTGAGTATTACGATCGTTTAAGAATTGTACGCAAGATAGAACTGAGTCGTTTGTTTAACATTAAATCGGATATACTTTCAGATACAGTAGAGGAAATGATTGAATTTGAAAAAAAGTTAGCATCTGGTATGGTGGACCAACAGGAAGGTTTAGGTATGGAAGATAAAGTAAATTTGCAATTGTTGGAAGAAATGACTGAAACCTATAAACCTACCTTAAACTACACGCATTTCGTTAAAACATGGTTGGGTTATGAATATCGCTTACCTGTTTATGAATATGTAGAATCATATCATCGCAATTTACGCAAAGTAATTGAAAGTACGCCTAAGAATGTGGTGGCTAATTATATTATGTGGGAACTATTGACAGATTTTCGTATAGATATGGACGGCACAGAAGAGAAGCACCAGACAAAATGTGTGGAAATGACTAAGCGTTATTTTGTAAAATATATGGATTACCTGGTATATCGTTATGTGGTTAAAAGTAATGATAAAATTGTCTCGGATGTGGAACAAATGTGGTTGGAATTGAAGAAAACATTTGAAAGTATACTTAAATCTGATGCCACAAAATGGATGACGGAAAGTACACGTGATAAAGCATTGGAAAAACTTTCAGCTATGACAATGGAAATAAATAATTATGAACAAGAGAATTTCGATAAAGATTTTGGTGATCTGGCCATTGGCACAGATAATTATTTCGAAAATGTTGTTAACATACTTGAGCGACGTGGATTGAATTTTCGATTAAAAGTGCAGGAACCACCAAAAATCGATGAACCAGAAGTACTTTCATTTTCGCCAGCATATGTGCCAGAATTAAATAAAATTTATATACCAGTCTCCTTTCTACAACCGCGTTACCTTTGGGATAACGCCTATCCAGCTGCAATAAAATACTCCACTGTGGGTTACATTGTGGCACACGAGCTAGCGCATGGTTTCGATGATATTGTACGTAAATACGATTCAAAAGGCAATTTCAATAACTGGTGGGATAAAAATTCCACAGCGGCATTTCAAACACGCAAGGAATGCTTACGTCAGCAATATGGGGAATATAAATACGGTGGTATGCTGTTGGAAAAAATTAACGCCCAAGATGAGAATATAGCCGACAATGTTGGTATACGCATTGCATATGCAGCATACCAAAGTTGGTTACTGGAACATGCTAATTCATTAGAATTACACGAGGAAGCACTGCCTCATATGAATTTGACCTCGCGACAAATGTTCTTTGTCGGTACGGCGCAAGTGTGGTGTGCAGATATACATCAAGAATTTCAGCATCTACTGACTACTGTAGATGTCCATGCACCAGAGGAAGTACGTGTTATGTTAATGTTATCAAATTTCGACCAATTTTCGTTAGAGTTTAAGTGTCGCTTGGGCACACGAATGCATCCGTATCGGAAATGTGTGTTCTATGGCTAGCTTTGTAGATGATAAATAATTTTGTGTAACACTTAGGAAAGTATTTTTACATTTTTTTTAAAAATATTTTTATTTATTATTTTCAGTTATAAGTTATCTAATTTTTTTTTTAAACTGTGTATACATATATCATTTTTTTTAATATAAAACAATCCTCAAACAAAATCCTCAAACTTATTTTTATTTTTCCGAGATTTCACAATTGTGTCACATAAATTATTTATGTTGTCGTTAAAGTCTTATCGGTGATGACGTATTTTATTGCTATTGATAATAATGACTGAAGTATCAGGAAAAATTTATGTACACATATAAGCACTTAGTCTGAAGAAATATTTTTATTTTTAAATTTTATGGAAGGTGCAGGAAAGGTATTTTTAAAACGGTACAAATTACAAACGGTGGGCATTCGTATTCTTAGTTTATTTTTTTTCAATGACGTCAAGTACGTGGTTCAGAAGATTACCACTGTTGCTTCCATGAAGTTTTTAAAGAGCTGCATTACTTCTCAGTCAGCATTAGAACTAAGAAATTAACAAGTGAAAAAAAGAACTTTTTTTTAATGGATGTTACTTTAACTCAAATGCAATCATTCTAATATTTTTCTAACATATTTCTTGAAGAGCAACTAGACATTCCACTGAGCGTTCTTTTAATATGCGAGAAGAAGTCTTAATCTCCGGAGGGTGAATCAATAGAATAACTTGATGGAATAGCAATTTGAAAACGCATTTTTTCATTTATTTAGGTCTTTTTTAATGGTTTCATCGTTCAATCGTTTCAGTAACAAGATAAAATATTCGATCTGAAATTATTTTTAAGATGATTGATAAGTATTATATCATGCGAATTCAAAAATAACGATGCCATAAACTTTACGACCTATTGTTACGGATAAGGTCACTTTAATTTCGGGATTTATTTATTTTCCAAATATTAGATAAATATTATACTGCGAATATTTCAAAAAATAGACTTCACAATGTTCGAATGGACTATTGTGTCTTTGATTGATTTGTCCGGACTTCTTCAGTTGCTGTTTACTTAGTTAATTATAGATTTAACTCCAGTCAATTTTTGTCTAGTGTTAAATAATTCATGAAGAACTTCTTTTAATTGCACTTAAAGATGTTTAAATGGTGTTTAGAACCGGTAACTTTTTGCTGCTTTAAGCAACTGTGAGTAAAATATGAAATCCACACTTACTCATTATGTAAGTGGCCAGAGCGTTTGGGGTAATAATTATCTGAATAAACAAATTTAAGATTCTTATACTAACAAATAATTTAATTTCCTGGGACAAAGATCCTGTCATGTGTAATAAATGAATCCATTGTATTAGTTGATTGGTTGGAGTGGCATGTCTGCAGATATCCTTCCGCTACAAATAATTAGAGATGAGAATATCATATGAATAACATTCTCATTGAGTGCGCAGTGCGTTCAGGGTTATAGGCATCTGAATGATTGTACCTATGTTTTTCATTATAAAAAATAACTATTTTTTTTCTGAGACAAAATTTTCGCCCAAGGAAATGGGTTCAGTAGATATTCTTCCGTTTCCTATAATTAGCAATTTTTCACCAGAAACTTAAAGAGATAAAAGAAAAACAAAATCTATCCTCTTTAATTTAGGTAATTTAACAGATCTTTTGTCCATATCGATGAACAGGTTAAACATCTTCCCAACCTCACTTACCTACTTCACTAAGAATTTAGCTCGCTAATACAACTCTCTAACAAGAATATCATCGAATCTTTTTTATTATTATTATTGTTAGGGAATGTGGCACGTGACTGTCGGGTCTATTGTGCCCCTTAGAGTAGGTCTCTAAAGTCTGTTGCGTCAATAAAAAGTAATCGAACCTTTTTTATTTTCTTGAAAGAAATTTTGATTTTTTTAATTTATAATTTAAAGTAGATTCTTAAAAAGTGACTTCAACTTAATACGAGAATATTAAAATACATGAGATTTTTAGTAAAAAGTTCAAAATTAAATTATTTAAAAATTACTCTAACTAGCGATCTCAGTTGACACTTTGGCAGTGTTTCATTAATTAATTATATTTTATCTTGTTTATAAATTTAACCAATTTATTTTAATGAGTTGTGGTGTGATGACCCAAAATGGTTTGAACTTGCTCGACCAACTCATCAACGCAGTAGTCGTACTGTGATGATGAGGATTATGGTGAGCAACAAATAGCCAACCAAGATAAATGGAAACATTTCACGTACAAAAATAAATTTTCGACTAAAATTTTCCAGAAATGAATTTTTAAGTTTCCAAATTTATTTAAGAAATTTTTTTTATGGTCTTAAACATTTTGTAAATGAATGTTCAACGTAATTTTTTACACTAATTAAAGGACAAGCAAGACCACTAGATGAATTTTTAATGCTTCTTAGTTTATATTGTAAATAAATTGCTAAGAATACTTTTTCACCAATAAATTTTAGTTTAAAAATATAACTTGAAATTATTGTGGTTATTTATTGTTTTTGAATATTTATTTTTAAGAAAGTTTCATCTAATTAATACCTTTAAACTTATAATAAAAAGTAATACTAAACTTTGTCATTAATTCGAGATATTTTAACGCAATATCTATGAATTAATTAATTAATTTGTTTTCATATACTTGATATTTAATTCTTTTTTCTTTATGTTGAACTGGAATAATTTAATATTGTAAATCAAAAAACTCTATATCGCCAGCATAACTTAATTTTTTAGACGATTTGCATAGGCTGATTAGATATAGCCTTAAGTTTCTTGCGATTTTTCTATTATAAACTTTTGAAACATCTTCATCGAGCTTTGCATAAATTTTATTAGATACTATTTAGCTTTTGAGATATTCAAACATAGTATTATAAATAATTTAATTTATTATTTTTTATATATATATTTTTTAATCTCGCTATAGGTCTCTTTTCCTTAAATAATTCAACGATTAATATTTTTTGTTATGCTCTATATTTCGACTCTCCTTGAGAGTCATCATCAGTATCGTATATATTGCAATATAGACGATAGAATAAAGAGGATGACGTAGATATAGTTTTAGTAATATTAATTAATGTTAGATCGTGATCCTGATGATTACTTTCAAAGAGAATCGAAATATCAAGCATAATAAAAAATATTAAACGTTGAAATATTAAAGAAAAAGGGACCTATAGCCAGCTTAAAAAATATATAAGTTCAAAAAAGTTCTTTTTAGTTTCAAAAATAACAAAAAGTGTCAAGAGACCATATTAGGTGCGCTTTGTCAATTATAGTCGTTGGTTAAGTTTTTTTCAAGAACCTTTCTAGTATTTTTATGAACGGTTTTCAAATTATAATTTCCGTATACTTTTTTCACAAAATGTATACATTTTTTCCATTTGCAAATAACTTTTCTTAAGTGTTAAATGAAGTGTTTCTTAAGAGAGTGACGCGTCTTTATGACGAAAAGAAACTACTTAAAAATTAGACGGATTCGAATAGCAAAGAAAACCAACGACAAAAATTTTATTTAATTTATTTAAATTTGACTGACTAAATTTCTTTCTTAAATTTTCAGCAAAATTTTAGTTTTGTAAAACAAATAAAACATTAAATAGCATTCCAAAAAATTATCCTAATATTGCTATAGATTTCCTATAACAAATACCTATTGTAATATTGTTAGCAATATACGAGTACCGTCACTTGATATTAAACTGAATCATCTATGACTGCGTTTGCTCATTCATTATCCAATTTAATTACTATAATTATAAACTGCATATTATTATCGATTTTTTAAAATTACTATTTACTGACAGTGGAAAATTTAATCCATAGATCTATATCATAATTTAAATACATCGTATATGACAAGCTGCAGCGACAATAAATAGTTAGTTCTCTATTTATATATAAATTAAAAAAATCATTATTGCATTTTGGCATGCCTATATACATATACGCAAATGTGATATATGTATATATAAGTAAATCACATATATAAATATGTCAACATATAAATATGTCAAATAAATTAACTTAAAATGATTTTTAACGATTCATGTCTGTTAGTTATTAATTATTGCATGTTATAAACAAATTAGAGAAAAAAGTTTAATTGTTTATATGACCTAACTATATTTTAGTTTAAAATGTTATGTTGAAATAATAAATATTTTACTTATAACATAATTACACATGTATGTTTAAAAAAGGTATTAAAACTTAAACAACCCTAGACACAATTTTTTTTTGTTTTATCTATCATTCCAATAATTTTTCAGTAAGCTTCAGTATACTCTGTATAAGACTAAATAGTTTTTTAAAAGGAATAAGTGAGAAATCAGGAAAATATATTATATCTATTCTAAATTGGTGATTTTTGCATCGGCTATCAAGAAGTTCCCTAAAATAAGTATCTTTATATGTACTTCCATAGACTTGAAGTACACTCAAGTTTTTACTCCTTGTCTCTGTTAGACAATAGTGAAAAAAGACAACTGAAAATAAATCATATTTTAGATCTTCCTTATAGAACTTAAAGAAATTTTAGAAATTTTGTATAAATATAATATTAGATAATGTAGCTATAAGACAATTGATAAGTATAACGATAGGATAATGATTCGATCTTAAATGCTAAGTATGCAACAGTTAATTTAACTGGAAGTTAATTCTTTTTGTTATGTAGTATAAGTATTCTTTAAATAGATTCCAAATAAAATTCCAAAAAAAAAATATATCTTTATATATATATATAAAGATATCTTTATATATATCTTTATATAAATATATCTTTATATAAATGCAATAAGATAGTGAACTTTTTTGTCTACTTATTAAACATGTACTAAAACATTAAAGATTGTTAAGTCAAAAACATTAGAACACTCGATGTTGCTTTTTAAACTAATAAACTTACTATCTGTGTTCTGGAAAATAAATAAAAGTATACATTTTTCATGTTGAGTCTTTTTCAAGTTAATGCATCTGTGCACTATTACTATTTGATAGCTGGGGGGTTGCAGCAG